AAAAAAAAAAAAACACAACAAATGTGTACGCCCCTTTCCCCCCCGAACAACCAATAGAATGCGAGATGGAGAGTAACAACCAATCAGAGCGCTGTATTTTTGACCTCGGCTCGACCAATCGCGCCGCAGCCTGCGACCGTTACAGCAGCCGGAGATCACCGCAGTGCAGCAGCCAACCAGCGCGCAGCTAGCCGAGCCGAGTCCCCACAAACAGCGAACAAATGGACGAAATAATGACACAAATCAACGGGTAGGTTAACCGCAACTTAACGCACGTTGCGTGCGACCCTCTACAGAAACAGCAGCTGCTGTTAAATGTGTTAAAACCCGCTCCCTCTGCTGACAAAACCTGCGATGAAACCAGCTGAGCTAAGCTAACCAACTGCCTGTCGCTGGTAGTTGGAGCTGCCGTGTTAGCGGGGTAACTCACCCGGGCTGCCCCGGCTGCCCCCAGCCTCGGACGGGCACACTTCACCACTTTTACCGGTGTGTCCTCCGGCAGCAGCCGCCGTGCTGTCCCCCGTAGCTGGAGCTGACATTGCGGCTGGTTTTAACCGCGCACACCGCTGCACGGAGCGTTACTGTGTCCGTCCGGAGCCTCTGTGAAGGGTTGTTGTTGTGGTTGTTGTTGTTGTTGTTGAGATAAAAGGTGGAAAAAGTTAATCAGCTGTTGGGTCAAACGTGGTTCAGACAGACAGACAGGCAGACAGAGAGGGAGAGACAGGCAGAGGAGTGGGTGCTAAAGGCGTTTACACGTTTGCGTTTGTTTATGTTTTTGTTTATGTTTTTGTTTACGTTTTGAATGTCAACAGCTGAGGAATAAGACGTGGATTGGCTGTAATAAACACTGCTTTTTACTGCTGCTGTTGTTGTTGTTGTGTAGATTGCAGGAAAGCACATGGTTAGAGTTTAGTTTTCCAGTCCTGGAAACAAACATTTTGGATTAAAATGACCCCAAAAACATCCTGTAAATAAATCTTGTAATCCTGGAAATGTTTTACTGTATTTCAGTGCCTTGTTTTCTGTAACATAAGATAAATGACACTTGATTTGGAGCTGTTACGTCTGAGTTACAGGTGAGAGGAAAGCTGTGGTGAACCTACCTGTGATACACCTGAGACACTTCATCCTTAAAACAGAAGTCAATACAACTCACCGTGAATTATCTATGAGTTTAAGAGCGAGTGCTGTGCTGTGTCGTCAATAAACGTACTTTTAAAAACCTCTGACAGAACAGTGTAAATGTGTTTAACTCTGCCTTTTAAAGTTGTGTGTCTGAGTTAAGTGTTCTTTGTGTTTTAGTACGTACACAGGTTTGTCTTTTATGTATATTCTTTTTAAACTCTGTGAGGAAGAAGAGTAACTGTAACTAAGGATAGACCGATATGGATTCTTTAAGGCCGATGCCGATACGGACCGCCAGTTTTCTTGAGCCGATATTCACATTTACATCATAAAAATGACACAATGATGATAACAAATGTTACGAGTCTCAATTTAAACAAAAAAAAAGGAACATTTGTTGAAATTAAAAACAGGTGAGGTAAAACAAGTAAACAATATTTAACAAATATTAAAAACAGGTGAGGTAGAACAAGTAAAAAAGAGTTTAGTGCTGCAAATACTGAAAATAAATATGTAAACATAAATAAAATAATGACACACTATAAAAATAATCTCTAAAACAACATTACAACACCACGGAACGACGTCGGTCGGTCGGTGTATCGGTCGATCACTAACTGTAACTCAGTGGGACTTTTCCTGGTTAAATAAAAATAAATAATAAAAAAAACGTCCTGGAAAATGATTTCTTAAAAAACTTGACCAACCGTATTTTGTCTGACCTCCTGTTTTTGTTTCCCCTCTCTTGTTCCTAGCTGTCAGACTGCCCCCCTCTGCACGGGCCCATAAACATGTCCACAGATGACAGTATCTCTGAGGATGTGTCCAGCTCCGGGGCTTTGAGCCATTGCCATGCCAGTGCTGACGGGGATGGGGGTAAGGAGAGCGAGACCTCTCTGGTGTCCTCCGAGGGGACGTCGGCCTCGGGCCCGGCGGTCTCCGAGGACAGACACACAACCTCCCAAACAACAGGAGGCACTGTGGAGAGCAGGCCCTTGGACATCACACCAGCATGCAACAAGATCAGGTGCAGTAAGATAAAGGGTTAAATATAAAACAGAGGCCACGAGACGCTCGATTAAACGTCCAAAGAGGTTCAGTTCCAACATTTTAATCTATTTTCTGTGAAGGGTCGCTGCTGTAGTTTTCTGAATTTCCCTGAACACAGAAAGTAGATTCAGATTTAATATAATCTCCGTGTGGGAGGACGTTTTGCATTTATTTCCAGAAGACAAATCTAATTAGAGGGAGATGCACTGTGCTGTAGAGTGTGAAGTCTTGTTTAGGTGTAGACATTTATTTATTTCTTATTAAATTAGGCTTAGAGAACCGTGTATATTCTCTCTATCTCGCACATATATTATAATCCTCAGGTTTAAGTGTGTGCTTTAATATTCTGTGATTTTATTTCAGGAGTTTGTGTCTGAGCACAGATGAAGCATTCGAACAGGGAAAGAGCCTCCCATTCATCAACCCGAGCTCCCTCGAGACCCTTAGGGCTTTGGTGCAGGAGATCCAGAGCAGCGGCGAGACGGACCCTGAGATCTGGAAGGATTGTGAGGTGGGAAAATATCGCCGAGTCGCTGTAGAGTGTGCGAACGAGAGTGCAAGTGCACGCTGATGCAATGGAAGTGAAGTTAGGGTTAGCTGCTGTGGCAGCTGGCAGCCTCATTTCTGAGCTGTCACTTTTATTTTTTGTGCGGATCACACCTGACAGTAAAATAGACACACACACACACACAGAC